GGACTAAAGGACATCGGCTGGTTTGACACTCTTTTCGGTAAGAAAAGGAAAAAACTAAAGATAAACACAGATTCTGTTTTTGGTTTACTTAAGATGATTATTATGTATGTTTTCTAAAATGAAAGTAGTTCTATGATTAAGTCAAGTTAAACAAAAGTGAATAAATCCTTATTTACTGTGGAAAGCTAGTATGGTTTTATAGCAGCTGCTGATGCTCACTAAACCTCAGGCACCATCCTGACAGTCAGACTTGAGTCCTGAGAATCCTGAGAATCTTCCGGAGTGATCAGTCATAGACGTTCTACCAAGGTGGCCAATGACTCAGCATTTAGGTGCTCCCACATGGAAGCATTCGACCTTCAAATTAAAAGACTCCCTGCTTGGCATTTTAAGTTAGGTTTTTTGTACCTAGGAAGTCAAGCTTTATTAACAATTAAAACTTATCAAATTGGAACCATCTCTGATTGTCCAGTAGACACACTAATCTTCCTATGTAGTCAGAATGTGTCAAATTTCAACTGTCAACAGGAGGCCCAACAGGAGGAAATCCTATTTCCACAATAACTCTCTGTGCTGCAAGTTATTTCAAAAGATTTGTTGGTGAAGATTCTCAGTCACCCAGATCATAGTCTTTTTTTTATTTATTTATGTTTTTTTTTTTTTTTGGAATTCAAAAGATATTTTTGAAAAACTATGTAAATCCCCCCAGAAATACATTAGTAGCAATATGGCACAAATTGAACAAGTGGAAAGCTGCCTCTACCTGCTCTCTAAACTCAATTGTAGAGATGTAAATACAATATGCAAGCAAATCTGTAACTCTGTCTGGCCATCAATTCATAAATCCACCTTCTACTGGTTGTCTTTCAGAGTGAAGCGCTTATGGTGTCTATCTGCAGCAGTCTATATGGGCAAAAGACTATACATCATGAATATGTCCACAATCAAACACAAAGTGTAATTACAAAATTAAAAGAAAGCATGATCTTTGGAAATTGTTTAGATGAAGGTACAAAAAAATTACTTAAAAAAAATCCTTCTCAGGCATTTTGGAAGCACTAGATATATTTGAAAGAACTACCTCCTCATTCTCCTGTACCATGAAGATTGTGACTTTGGTGTGCTGTTCTTTGTTTTCTGTATAAATTTCATATGTGTGCATCCTCTCCCGGTACTTTACCTTCCTCCTATAGCCCGTCGTCATCACTTTGGCAACAAACCCTCTGTAACCCTGCAAAGATAAGAATAGATGAAGAGAAGGATAGGTGGACTAACTCCTCTAATCCAACATAAAATAGCACAACTTTGAGGATGTTGGAAGCTGGTTTTATATGCTATTAATCCATTATACTGTTGTGTCATTCTAGCACAGACTTGCATAGTTTTGCACTAAAAATGTCAGAGACTGTCACATGAAGAAAGATGAGGGAACACGATGATGTCCAAAATATGTCAGGTTTCTGTTGTGGGATTGTGGCTATTGTTTGACATTCAAACTCCATTTAATAAGCCAAAACTTATCTGTTACGCTAACAGTTTTATTGCTGCTCCACTGCTCAGGAACTCCTCCAGAACTTATTCACCTGGTCCTAGCAACAATTAAATGAAACATTGAACTGTGGATGGTCATGGCCAAGTTAATGCAACATGAAACAGTCCATCTATCAAAAATCTAATCTAAACTTTAAATCCACATGGTGTTTATTAGTTGATGAAATAGCATCTGCAGCATATGCATGGTATTGTAGATCACATGCACTGGGCTTGGACACCACCGAGTTTGATAATATTTAAAACAACAGCAGAAAACCCACAACTTTGGTCAAACCTAACTGCCACTCTCACCCAAAGATAATTAACAAATTCTGAGACAGTGAAGTCACCAAATGTTTATAAAGCAATCTTTTGGTCTAGAAAGAATCTCAGATTAAACAAGCTCTACACTGAACTTAGTAATAGGTTTTAGGGCAGAAGCTCTCTAAGAAAAGGATCCTATTCATCTTTCATCATATTTTAACAAAAAGTACTACATACAGAACAGGGGTTGGTGTTGAAGCATTAAAAATATATATATTTATACTTGTTTATTCTGCTGTTTTTTTTTTATATTCAGAATTGGCAAGAGGATAGTGCTAAATATATTAGGCTAAAAAAAAAAATGTCCAACCTTTTTGTATGTGCTAAAAGGAAAATTAACTTAAGCATTTGTTTTTTTTCTAATTTTCTTATTTTCAGGATGGTATGGAAGCTTTTTTACTGTTCAAGATGACCCTTGTGAGGAAATCCTAAGAGAAATCTTAATTGATCCCCTCCTCTTGGTTTCTCCACTCAAGGTAAAACACACCTGCTGGTTTGAAAGTTGCCTGTTAAAGAACAATTTTCTGTTCTTCTGAAAAGTATCATCTATTATTTTTCTATAAAAAGCCAATGTTTACAGCATCTTAACATCATCTTTTAAACCTAAGGTAAAATGGGGCTAAAATTGCATTTTTCAATCAGGTATATATGCATACAGAAAAAAATGTTTAATTTTAGTAATTTATTCCCCTTATAACTATCAAGCAATTGTTAGTTTTATTCACCATTAAAATCTTGGGATTTTTAGTAAAAATTTTTAAAGCCAATCACATTCTGTAACCAGAAGTGACCACAATGAGGTACTGTATTGAGAGAAGTGCAAATGTTTTTCTAAATGCATGACATGCCCTTGCAATAGTGAGTGAGTAATGGTGAATATTTTAGCCCCCCTCTTATTTGTTTACTCTTACTCTTCTAACTACACATTTAAAATACCTGTTAAATAAAACAGCCTTTTTTATTTCTATAGTTTATAAAGGATAAAGAAAGCAAATAGATAAATATGTTTACTATTAGTGAGTTTTATTTATTTGGGTTTTTAGAAACAGTTTTGTCATCACACAAATGTAGGTCGACTTAGAATATCAGTAAAGCTGTAGAAAACAAGTAACCAAGTAAAGAAAACTGGTAGCATAAATTGGCTTGCTTTAGTTATTCAACACAAAAGCACCCAGAAAACAAATGACCTAACAAATGATGGCACCTATTAAGAAACATATTGCAAAAAGTTTAATCCTGAAATGTTTTTTTTTTTTCTCTTATCAGGTATTTTTCTATACCATTACAACTTGCATTAAAGAGCCACTGAAACCCTTAGGAGAAGGTTTAGGGGAGTTTTTCCGAGCACTCCTCAAAGATCTACCAATAATCTCCTGGATACCAGTCCTTATCATTGTCCCGCTGTGCTTTCTGGTAAAGTCATCATGACACTCACAAACATATTTCATCCAAAATATGTCTCTTTCCTGGTATATTTGTTTTACTATGTTTACCGGCTGGATGTCTTGCAGATACCTCTATCTGGAGGCATACCAAGAGTTTTCCAGCTCTTTGTGAGACGTATGACACCCTTTGGGGGAGTTCTTTTACCTGAAAATGCACAACGCCAAGATGACGATGTCAGGTTAGAACAAAATGCCGTTAATCAAACACAACCCGGAAGAGCCATGGAGGAGCCCCGTATTGAATGTTTAAACAGTGCCGACCTATCAAGTGAGGAGCCTAGAGAAGCTGCGGGGAACCAGGGGGGCTCTGAAAACCAGCCTGAGGTCAAAAAAGAGAGACTTGTTACTACGCCAGACCAACCGGAAGCCAATCAGACCATATTAGTTGTATTAGAGAACAAACAAATAAAAACACAGAGGAAAGGTTGTTATGATGAACCTTACAGAAGGCGTCCAACCCCTACACATCAGCCAATAGAAATGCACCATGGTTGGATACGTTCAGGTGAGTGATTTAAATATTCATGCTGCTAGATCAAACTAATAATTTGACAGCATCTGTTTGCTCTTCATTTCTGGCTGTTAACAAAATTTATCCAAACGATTTCTGACATACATGCAGAACTACCTTTGAGTTTTAAATATTATGTTTTGTTTACAGATGGGGAAATGATGCATCCAGAAGCCTTACCAGGAGAAGAGAGAAGCTTGCCATCACGGAGATTCCTGGAGGCTGAAAATGCTTCTGCTCAACAAACATCAGCAGTTCCACTGGATTAAATACTTGTTTTATAGCAGCAGTTTAACAATATCTGTATTTGTTATAATTTAGTTGATTTAATTGGACTTTCCAAGTTAACTGAATGAGAACAATTAGATTGAAAATTAGACACTGAGCAGAGCAATTCACTGTCTGATCTGCAGTGTTGCTATCCTAAAAGTGTGCTGCATTTGGGGGACTTTATATTTAATCAATTCCAGGTTTAACTGGTTTGGTTCAGGTTATTTTATTTTTCTGTTTTTATGTTTCCCTTTTTGCTATAATGATGGTGGTGGAATAACAATTAAAGTTAGCTTTGCAAAGCAAGAATATTCAGTTAATAATCATAAACTTGTTTTAACTTGAAAATTTAAACACCTTGTTCCAATAAAAAATATGTACAACTTTTAGAAACTTGTCATTTGAGTCATTTCTGGATACTGGTATTTTTTCTTTCTCTTTTTTTAAAGAAAATGTTATGACTGCAAAATACAAGAAGTGTGATTTTTAAATCTTCCATTCCCATCACCCCTTTTTGTTACACCTTGGCAGTGTCCGAACATCTACCCTAAATCCCTCAATCACTACATACAGTAGGGACTATATAGTGAACTTTATAGTGACAACAAATCCCATAGGGCTTTGTGAGGAGAGCTCTCCAGGCAAAGCATTCTGGGATATATCTGCTCATCTAGTGACCATGGATGATAAGTACTTGTCAAAGTGCTATTGTCCACTACTTTTTCATCCACTAGACATTCTGACACTCATCTAAAATGGCGTAACCACTATATAGTGCCCTATAAGGTGGTTAGGGCGGACATTTGGCCACAGCCCATGGTTGTGTTCAGGCTGCATCCTCCCAGGACCCGGTCTGTCTGAGCTGTGTCCGAATGTCAACCCTATATCTGACATATCTGACTCAATAACCATTTAAGATAACTATTTTCATTCATTTCATAGCTATTCACATACTTGAATTATATTAAACTGCACTTCCAATATTAGTAGGATACACTCGACCTGTCCTTCAAAACAGGCAAAAAGAAGGCAGCATTTGTCGGCTGCATAATGAGGAGTCTTCCAATCTGAACAAACCTCGCCACTGCTCTATAACGTAATCGGCCGACGAATCTAGCCTTCAAAGGACGCAGCCATTGAATTCTAACCTCAGCACATGGATGATCACTGCTTCTCAAAGAGCATTGTGGGCGATATTGAGTCCACTACTTTTTCATCCGCTAGACGTTTGGACACTCATTTAAAATGGTGTAACCACTATATAGTGGACATTTGGAAACAGCCTTTATGTCTCCACCAACACCCACCCACACCCAATACATATACAAGAAGCACACAACTGTTGCTTTCACAAACAATCAACACATTTTTCAAAAATATATGTTCAGTCCAGATTCATTAAGAAAAGAAAGCTGTACATGCAAAGGAAATTGACAATACACAATGTAATCTAAACATTTGTATGATTAATTTATGTTTTGCAGATTTCTAATCGCTTTAACCCAATCGATTAGTATCTTCACTCATTAATTGACATTTCAAAGGAATGCGTTTATATCAAGCAATGAATTCATAATAGAGCTGATGCCGATATATGCACCTGGCAATGTTTGTCTACTTATAAGTAAAAAAAATCAAAACAAGACAAGATATGATATTAGAGATAACTCAAAGTTTTCTATTCTTATGTTTTCTATCTTTGTATTGTACAGCTGGGGTCACACTTTTTCTAAGAAATTAATGTAAAGTGTGACAGAAGAACTATGAGGACCAGAGAAGGAACAATCTAACAGAAAGTCATGTCCAAAATACAAAGATTAAACACTAAAATAAAGTAAGAAAACAAACACAAAGGAACAAACCAATAAGTCAAAAACTTAAGGAACATAAACAACAGCAAAATAAATGAAACCGAGACCCAGGAGAAATCCAAAGCCCAAAGGATTGTGACAAAGCTGGAGCTTACAACTTGGCAGAGGTGAAGATGTTAAAAGCCAAAAAGGTAGATATGTGATAGAGCTTTTTGAACCGGGAGAGCCCCAAAACACAATGTAATTGTTTCTTTCCAAGTTTTTATTATGTTCTCATGTACAAAAATGTTATCTTTGTGTTTCTATTTTATTTTATTTATCTGTTTATCTTGAACTTTACCTTTGTTATCAGGTGCAGCAGCCTTTCCACTGACCAAAATGAATCCAAACACATTCTTTACATACGTATTGTATATCCACTTATTATTTCATTTTATTCCAGTGGAGTTCACTGTAATGATATCAGTTACAGGTAAAACTCAGATTCCAATTTAGAACTTACCCTCATTTGAAAAATACTATACATTTACTAATAAATACTTATCTCAAAGTGTTTAATCACATTTTCAAAGAATGCTTAAGGTATTTATGCATGGTTTGTGATGATAGCTTTTCAAGGCTGTAGGTTTTTTACTCTTTCTTTAACTAGAATCATTTAAGTTAACACTGATTTTAAGAGATTAGCTTGCATTCTGCATGAAAACAGACATGATTTGTTTATTTGTTTGGGAAATATTGTGTCTATTAAACAAATAAAAGCCTGACAGGATAATCCTGAGGTTTTGTCCTATTCGGATACTTTTTTGATGATAACAAATAAAATATTGTTAGTATCTAAAGTAGTTTTCAGAATTGCTGTCCTCAAAACATTAGAAATTTTTGAAGAAGCCGGAGAAATAATCTAAAATAGGCTAGTTATTTTACTAATGTGATGCAAAAAACTCTAGAGACAAAATTGTCAAATTATATATTTGCCTGAGCTTTAGAAAATGATATTTTCTATTAAAGGGCACAGCAATGGGTGTTTGTGTTTAAAGCAATGTCAATTTTGAGGAATTTTTATTGTATTGTATTGTAATTGTACTCTATTGTATTGTATTTTGCATAATAAAATTTCAACAATTATCTACAAGTAGTAGAAATTGTTGTGAAGATGCATTTGTTAAGAGAAATTAGTTAGAATAATAGTAAAAAAAAACAAAAAAGAAAAAAAGGAGCAGTAGCAAAAATAACACGAAATGTATGTATGCATTCATTTTATAATTATTTCTTTATAATTAATATTTAATGTTTTTTTTCTATTGATTTGTGTTTTTTAAAATCCTATTAACTTTTTTTAAAAAGAGAAATTAGTTAGGATAATAGAAAAAAAGGGGCAGCCAGCATGAATAACACGAAATATATGTATGAATTAATTTTATATTTTTTTCTTTAAAATTGATATTTACTGTTTTTTTTCTATTGATTTGTGTTTTTTAAATCCTATCAACTTTTTTTCCATAGAAACATGAATTTCTTTTAAGTACTTTTACCTTATTTTTTTGGCGCTCCATATCAGGTTGTCTGATCCCAAATTGCGCACCTGCGCGCCGCTTGGAATCCGCTCGCTCATTGGCTGGCTGGATGCTCAGCGGTCACGCAGAAAGTTCAGCTGCACTTTCCTCCGCGTAAAGTGACGGTGAGCGCTGTCGTAACCCCACTCGGGTAAATGGTGCTTCTCACGGGGCTCATCGAAAATGGAGTTACTAGTTCGGTATCTGGACAGGAGCAACTCTATTGGGTAAGTTCCTATAGATAAAAAGTCATATTTGTGTTACTTTATGTCTGTCGTTAAAGCGCCTGCCCGGTTTTACCCTCCAGGTAAATAAAAAGCAAAGTAAAATTATGTTTAAACCTAACCTGGCCTATACTTCTCTAAAACTCCCCTGAAAACATTTGTCCGAATGCTTTTAAAATATATATATATATGCGCTGTAACTGTAGTTGGCAAATCATTGGGAAAATATTGAGAGCAGGCCCCTCTCTTGCCTTGGACTTGAACCTTGGAAACACCATGAAAGCAAGCACTGTCCTCACTGTTTGCAGTTTTTCTCCCCTTTACTCGAACCAACAGAAACTTTGTGACATTGCTGCTTTCTCACACTTTCACTTCTGCATTATTGTCCAGAGAGCTTGATTTTGATATCTGCACAGGAAAATGAGCTACAAATTACAGATTGGAACTTTTGTTGAAGAGAAAAAACACACTTTTATGGTTATCTCTGGAGTGTGCATGCACCACAGTTACACACAAGTAACCGTTTCCTGTTTGCCCCTACCTTATGTTGCTCTTTTTGTTGCAGCTCTGACACAACTCAAGATCTTATCAAGGAAGAGAGCCTGAGAGATGACCTGAGGTACTACTTCATGAGCCCCTGTGAGAAGTACAGGACCCGTCGACACATACCCTGGAAAATGGGGGTCCAGATTTTGAAGATTGTCATGATCACTACTCAAGTATGTGTAGTTTCATTTCCAAACTTTTAGGATTACTGGAAACAACCTCAATCTGAGATGGATCAACATGATCATTTTGAATTTGTGACATATCTAAGTAAACTTTTCACTCAGAAATGAAATGCAAACTTGTTTATGAGTTAAAACAAAAAACAAAAAAAACAAAAAAACTAAACACTTATTTTTAGGTTTTGGTTGGTGTGCCCTTTACTGGCTACAGTTTATTTTCTTTTAGATGCAAACAGCAACCTCTGTCTGCGATTAAAGCAACTCGCTAAATCAAATCTCAGTGGGGGGAAAAAAGGGAATGTAAAATGATTTTTATTTTTCTTCCAATAAAAGCTAGTTTGTCGAATAGCATCTCTCAATGCTCAAAGTATTGAATCTGGGTTGAAGCGACAAAGGGCCTCCTTTTGGGTATCCGCAATGACAGGAAACACTTGTTTCAATTTCCACAGCCTTGCCAAAGCTGGACAGTAACAGACTGACAAACATTTTTAGCTCTATGATTCTTTTTGTTCAGTCTGGGCCAATCTCAGATGAATGTTTCTGAACACCTTGTTGAAACTTTACCATAATATTTTCAACTCTGTACCACCAAGGTGTACCAAATAATTTGGACCCTGCTCAAAAAATGACACTATACCCTGAATATTGCTGGTAGACTTTGTGTTTTCTGTCCATTCTTATTTTATTTTATTTTCAAGCTCATTCTGTTTGGCCTCAACAACCAGCTAGTGGTTGCCTATAAGGAGGAAACTACCATGGCCCTGAAAAACCTTTTCCTGAAAGGCTACACTGGAGTGGATGAGGATGACTATAGTATCGCTGTCTACACGCAGAATGCCGTCTTCGACAGGCTGTTTTACGTCCTTGATCAGGCAAGTTTTTTTTTTTTTTTTTTTTTTTTAAATCTGGTATTTATTAAAACTGAGGAAAGATGATTATTCATGACTTCAACAAAAATGAACAAACTGGATGATGAAGTTTAATCAATTCTTCCTGCATTTTAACTGTCCAGTTTCTAGGAAATATTTCCAGAGTCACCAATTTAACTAAATTATCCTTGAGATATTGACATATTTTCATCATACTATACTATTTAGTATAAGCCTGTTGGTGTGTGTGTGTGGGGTGGTCGGGCGTTGGAGAGTCAACCAAGGCGCCATGGTAACTTCGAATAAATTTCAAATATTCAACTCTCAATTGGGAGAATTTGTAATTTGGAAAATTTAAATCTGGCATTCATGGGTCCTCACAAGAATGCCATTTTTGAAAGAAAGCGATAAGGAATGGAGTTTACGACAAGCCAGGGATGTTACTACAGAAATATACAACAGGAGGTGCTGTTCTGTTAGAGATTGGAATTACAAAATGGAATGACCTCGTCTAAACTTTCTTTTATTATATTGAAATTTAAATGGTATCACTGTTTGTTCCTGACATTTAGCAGTCATAAAATGTTCAAAGCGGTTTCTTTAATAAATGTTAAGTGATTGTTTAATCTCTATTAATTATGGCATGATAAACAGCCTGCTGTGGTGGAAGTGCAAGGAAACCTTCCTCCCCATAGAATACTGAGAGACGCTGTGCTTTACCTGAGGCCTGTTATATTTACAGTACAGCCAGCTGGACCAGCTCTCTGTGGGGCCGATCAGTTATGCTGAGGATGAAGATGGAAAGCTGCTGCCTCTCACCATCTGTAAAGAGTACTACAAAAGAGGCAGCCTTGAGCCTTCTAATGAGTCTTATGATATTGATGCCCGGCTAGAAACAGGTAGTTTTTGTAATCGAAGTTTAGCGATCGTCAACTTAAACAAAGTTTCTAAAAGCAGCCCCTTTT